TGCTCCCCTGTGTGGAAAAAAAAATAGAGACAATTTTAAAACTAAGCCACTCGAATGACTCTAACAGGGCTGTTTGTGATAAAGTCAATTCGTTGTAGAACTGAAGCTTCAGCTGGCTGATAAATACATACTAAACAGACTAGAACATGATTTTGTTAAAATATTATTAAAGGTTAATTTAAAAAAAGTTTTAGCCACATCATGTGTAACCTTAAGTCCCAAAGAATTAGGAGATTCAAAAGCTTAAATAATCTCTAGTAAGCATGCTTTTTTCTTAATCAATATGAAAATTAATAGAAGTTTTCAATTTTAGGATGAAATACATATTTTAAATAAGCATGCACAATGATGTGAGCATGGAGCTTCTGGCTAAAAGACAAAAAAAGGACAAGGAAAGCAGTGACCCATTATGTGTTAGAAAAAAAGAACATTACAAAGAAAGGACCTCTGGGGAGGAAAAACCCCCCACAAATCTTGGTTCTTGCTCAAAGTGCTAACTTTGATCAGGTGACAATGCTAATTTCCTTCAGGCCTAGCTTTGAAATGTTTCAGTAATTCTGTTACTATATTTTACATCTAAATACTACCTTCAGAGTAATTTAGTACCAGTGGTCCTATCATAGCTCACCATGGTGAAATAGCACAGAGCTTTTTTCTCAGGTGTCTATAATCCTGTTAGGAAAGGAGCTACAGATAAGATCCAATAGTTTTCACTTGCCAAAAAAAAAAAAAAAAGCCTTATCTACAGCCACAAAGTAATTTTCTTCCCCCAGCTCTTCTCTGTCCCTTTCTTTCCAACTGTTCATAGCAATATAGCTCTAACATTACAAAACAAATAATCTGTGACAACTGTCAGTTCTGGGCAGCATGAGGTAATAAGTGAATGCACTTCGAGGAATGAGGACTTAAGGTTTAAAGTTAGTGTTTGGAACATGGAACTGATGCAAGTGACAAGGTCAGGATATCAGAAGTCATCACTGGCAGGAATCTTGAGGCAGGAGAACAGCTAGCACAAGAGCACTTAAGAATAACACCTCCTTATGTTTATAATCAACTATCTGACTCAGAACTTTAAATGTTGATAAAAGCTTTGGATTTATGTTAGCTCACACCAACACATTATGATTGCTATATACACAGCCTTTCTATGAGAGTCATACCGTATTTATAGCTCAATATAATTCTGCTGGGTCAGACCTGGTAGCAGAGACTAAAGAAAAGATCACATCTATTTTCTTTTTATTATCATCAATACTTCCAATGAAGCTTTAAGACCCAATTCAGACCACTGAATAGAGTGCTACTCAGCCATAATTCATTTTCTGATGGTAAAGGGAAGGCAAACAGCATGGGGCTGCTAGCAGAATGCACATGACCTGACCCACTTGCCTGTAACATCCACCCAAGCAAGGATGTGGAGAGACCTGTGTCAATCACCAGTTCTGTGGAGAACAGAATCTATCATTATATCATCCTTCCTAAACACTATGCCTCAGTCTCCTGCTGAGAATTGCCTCTTGCATTGCAGAGCATCCAGGACATGATAGAGGGGAGGTTCTGAGAAGACAACATTACAGTTTTGAGTACTATACTTCTAATGCAGGAGTTAGAACTGAGTACTGTTTTATCTTCCCACAAGTGAGAGTCCTTTGTCAGGTGGGATATTACTTGGTACCTGAGTGATCAGTGAGGAAAGGCAAGCCTATTTTCTTGTGGTTACACAGCTAGTATTGTTAAGCAGGAAACAGTAGAAGCTCATTGCCATCAAATCCCTTATCCTGAAGGAGAAAGCCATGCTTTTCAATAAGGACACCTGAACATTGCACTCCTTAACTCTTCCAGAAGGAAGCTGAAATTAACTGCGTAACTGTCCAAAACTTAAGTAATAACCATCCCAACCCTCACCCCAGGCTGACAGAAAGAAGTGCTGGGCAGCACCAGGCAGCTTCAGTCTGTGGGGGAAATACAGTCCTCTCTACAGAAAGAACTCAAGGTGTTAAAAACTTTCTGTAATACAGATAACTTGTTCAGCTAGCAAGGCCAGCAATAGCTAGAATCACATCCATTAGCTACAGAGTGAAAACCATCTGCATCACTCTTACATTGGTAAGGACTCGAGGCACGTTCTTTCAGCAACAGTCATGCTTATTTTATTCCACTCTTTGAACTGGAAGTTCATCAGAACACCAGTAGCTCTGGGACACTGAACAATTAAGATTTGTTATATGTACACTAATATGTTCATTTTCATTCTAAACAGTTTAAGTAAACCCCACAACCCTGACCAAGATTTGTCAAAATATTTTGAGCAATTCAGAGAGCCAAGTATCTTGAAAGCTTACATGAGAACCAAATGCAGCTCCCAGTGAATAAGCTAAACAATGAAGTCTTAGTCATACCAGACATCTCCAGTTTTATCCTTCCACACTCAAGCATTGTTCATGCACCTCAAAATGCATAGGAGCCCAGATACTAACAGATTTCTACAGTACTAGTAAGAGTTTTGGGCCATAGCTTACTTTTTTTAAAGTGTTAAGTCACCTATTGCACACATTTTCTACTATTTGTTAGATTATCTTATAGTGAAAGTATAAGCCATCTTCTTGCTCAGAGGTTGTCCTGAGCCATTAAATAGCAACAATGTATTGAACACAGAAGTAATGTCCTTCCAGACAGGCTTGTCAGCAGATTTGATGCAGTAATCCAAATGGAATATTTGGAAACCAACCTGTGATGGCTGACAGGGCTATGGGCTTTACTGGCATGGCTTTTGCAAGGTATCTGTGATAGGGAAAAGCTGAACTGCATTTTCATATTCCATAGTTGCATTTAAATTTCATTTTTCAGCCAAGGCTTGTTAGAACTAATCAAGTTGCAGTAATCACCCAAATGCAGTCACTTCTCACCCTTCCCTCCTATAAGACTACTTAAGAACCTGAAAGGGTCATTATCCTGATAACCTTAACATTTTGCTCCTCAAACAGTAATAAAAAAACCACAACTTTGAACAGAGTGATGCATTTCAAAATAGTAAACCACTTCAGTTGCAGTATCCAAGACCTCATATCAAATTGTAGTACAAAAAAAGTTTACACAAAGTATTGTCAGTTACTGTTGAAATAAATCCGAATGGCTCCATGATCTTGGCAGTATGATGTAGAAGTAGAAGCATTTCAAAGTATCACCTTGTTTTTATATTTCTCTTGTATATGTTCCTGGACTTAGAGAAACTGACTGGGTGTGCAGGTTGGTGTCCTTGTATACAAACCAAACATTTCCTCCCCATAAAAGCATATTAAGCAAGCCAAACACCTGTAGGTTAAAAAAAAAAAGGCGAGAATAAGGGTAATGTGAGTCTGGTTTTGTTCTTTAAATAAAATACAGCTTCAGGGCAAGCCAGAAACAAACACTACCTTCAGTACCTCTGACACAGGCAAGAGATTTGCACATACGTTTGAGTATTACAAGTTATTTTAGTAAACTGACTATCCAATTTCCAAAGAAGGCTGCTATGTCCTCTCTCTGAGCATCTCTCTCTATATGCACATGAGCGAAATCCAGAGGATATGGTTAGTTACTGGGCCAAAGAATAATGATGTTTTCAAAATTCACTAGTAACATCATAAAGTAAGCCTTATTTGCTCAGCTGTGAAGAGGTCTTTCTACAACATGAGATTTGTAGCATTTAGTACAAAGAACTTGTTTGCTGTGTAAAAATTCTCACAGTTGATTAAAAAGGTAGTTTTAGCACCAAAAGGTAAAGCAGGAAGGATAGCGTTTCTTTCTTGCTTGCATCAGTCAATGAACCACTTGGGTGGCTCAGCAACATATTTTAAGGTGGTCTTGGCTACAGACAATCTGGAGACTCATGTGTCTGGAAATACAGTATCTAACAACTCTAGAGACAGATCCTACAAGTTGTTTCTTTTCATATCTTTGAGGAAACAATTTCCTCTTAAAAGATAAGATTCAGTCAGTGTTTAACCACAGTATTAATGGGTATTAATTAATGACTGATAATCAATAAATCAATCTTAACATGTAAAGCAACACATGCAATCAGTAGAACACGGCTCTCGGGTGCCATTGGCTATTTTCTAACACTTATTGCATTTTTATGGCAGAAGACATACATACCACAGACACATTCAGAACTTTCATGCTGCTCACAGAAGCAAAAATACAAGTTGTTGCTGGTACTTTGCAAGATTCAATTCCTTGAATAATGCTGGCCCCTGTGGACATTTTTATGTCAGCAAGTGCCTTTGCCCAAGTGAAAGTACTGACCAGCCACAGAAAGGCTGTTACGACAGTGATGGCCAAGTCCTACAGAAGAGAAGAACTCATCATTAGGCTAAAAAACTGCATGAATGTCCATAAGAGAACAAGGTATACACAGTATCAATTACATCACCAAAAATCACAGCATCAGTGCTAATGATCAGAATTTGGCTGCTAACAACATTGTAATTACAATACAGGTTATAATCTGTGTTGATGATCAGCTACAAAACCGTATGCCTTTTGCATCCATCACGCATAAGCAATCTGTGTAAGAAATTAGTTACTAAAATCAGATGCTTAGCACTTATGTTATAAACATTTAAGTCAAAAGTTTAGTACAGTGGGTGTGACAGGGGAGAAAGTGAAGAGGATTTAAATCTGGATGACTGCTATGCTAAAATTGGGCTTGAAATGTTGCCAGGTCTTTTTGTTGGGATGCTCCAAAACACCTCACTCCAAGGATCAGGGCTTTGGTATATAAGGTAACTCAAAGTCACAGGATAACTATTCCCCTCTGCAAGTTGCATCTGCACAGCAGGTGCTAGACACAGGGTAAATTCACTGATACTAACAGAAGAGGTTTCACCTATGGAACAACTGTATGTAGAAATACACAACACAAAAGAAAAATTGCAGCAAAGACACTGTTCACTTAAAAAGGTGGAACTTCATTCTGCTCTTTGCTTCAATTAATACATAAGCTATGATGCCACAGATGTTCGAAGACTTTGGATTCTCTTTTCTGATAGGGTGCTGTAGTGGCTAGACCAAGACATGCATTCATGCTCCAGCTAGCTTTTGGAACTACTGCATAGTCATAAGTTATTCAGATACTCTTGTGTTTGCAATATTTCTCATCTCTTTGTGGTTTCAAAGACAAAATATTGTATTATCTCAGTATTACTTACAGTCAGTGGGAGCTTGCTACTTTGCTGATACACGTGCTTATATCCAATATATACCACAAGGGCAGCAATGCAGTAGAGGAATACCAGCACTGCAAGCGTAACAAAGAACTGTGCAGAAGAGGAGAAGTTGCCTACAAGGTAGGTGTCAGTCCAAGTACCACCACAGCGTTTTGGGTCTGGTGCACTAAATACAACAGTATTCAACCTGTAAAGACAATATCCTTCATGTAGTTAGAGTTTGCTGCAGTGGAAACTTCATGCTTCACAGTAACAGTGCTTCAGTATTCCGATTGTGTAAGTTTACTCTAAAAGGCAGCTTATATTTGTATAATATATCAGTTATATAACAAAAAGATTTGTCAAGATATCTGAAGATGTTTCCCCATCCTACATTGAGATACATAACTGAAAAACAACAAGTTTGAAGCAGACTTAACTAACCGTTTTAAACTTAACATTATTTTACAGAGACTGGCTGTTAAGAGAGGGGATCAGGACTTTAAAGGCATCAAGTTGCATTACAGCTACAAGAAAATGCAGACACTGAACCTTCAAACATAGAAAGCTCAACAAAACCTGTGACCTGCAGCAATCACCCAGTGAGCAGCACAGAACCATTTCAGGTCCCGACCCTTACTTTCAGGTGCTATTATGATGCTGAGTTTTGTGATCAAATTCTATACTTCTTTAATAGTTCTTACTATCTGGCCTCTGAATCCATTTCTGTACTTACACTGATGATGATTGAACATATACAGAACACTAACTCTATGCTTGCTGTAACTGTGTAGCTGTGAGAACAAAGAGGAAGCCTTCCTCCTTGTGTTCCAGAAAAGGAGCTTGTCTCTACTACACCAACTGGAATGACAGTTGAGTATTTTTTTTTATGTGCCCAGCACCCTCATCAATACCATATTGGCATAAACTGAAAAATATTTTCCATTCAGTCTTTAAACACAAAAAATAATCTTAGCTGTCTCCAAAGCAACTACAAGCTGATGAAGGAACAGGTTGCTAAGATTAATTGCATTGTTCTAGTTATTAATCACCTTCTGTAGCATTCATGCACTGCTAGAATAGCACTTTGAGTAAAGTGATACAAAGCAATCAATACAGCCTATTGCCATTTCTACCTACTTCTTACAGAACACTGACAACCACAGGTCTCTAAACAATTAGAACTGTGCTTGGGGCTTGGCAGTTTTTTTTTTAAATAAATTATTTATTACTGCAGAACAAGTCAGAGGTTCCAAACCTTTATTTATATATATACAGTAAGTACTATCCTTAGGGAAACAGATAAAGGAAAATAGCGAATAAGAAATAATTAGCACACGAGTGACAACAGAAGAGCTAATACTCACCTGAATGGATAAGCAAAAGCAGCTGTAACTGTTTTGTTTACCACACCTTTGCAGGAAACTAGAAGAGTAGTTTCACCTTGAAAGCCTCCACATGTGGCAAAAACAAAGATGGAAAAAATCTGTAGGAATTAATACACAGACATATTACTATAAACAACTAGAGCTCAAAGGAGACAAGTTCAACCTTTTGGCTAAAGCAGTTATGAAAGCAAGAAATAGTGGTTAAATTAGCAACAGAAAAGCATGAAGTGATGTCAAGAGATAGTTGGAATGCTGAGTTTCTATAATCTAAAAACATAAGCAACACCACTAACAAAAGCCAGTTTGAAAGTTCTTTTGTCTGTATTTTTTTAGCTCTATACTAAAGTTGCCTTTTTTAATGCTAAAAGCCAGCAGTTCACAAGGGAAGTATTTTTAGGGTGCCAGTACACTAGCATAGCTAAAAGACAGTTGCTCAGAGTATTGCACATCCACTTGACTCCTCAAGTCACTCCTGTTTATCCCTTTTTTCACTAGCAAAATCCTAAACGCCCAATAATCAGAACACACAACACCTAGCAGCGCAAGTTACTGTGACAAACTAACTAACACACAGGTTTTATGTATCTGCAGAGCCATTTTATTCCCTCCCAGCCAGAGGACTTGGCTGAAGAGCCAGCTCTGTGTTGAGCACCCATCATCAGTAACATGAAGCAGGGGACAGGCAGCCCATTATCACACACCTCTTCAAGCCTATCCAGCTAAGACATAGGAGCCAAGGCAGGCCTGAGAGAGTAGAAGAAACAGCCCCACCAGGAGAATGAGGATTTCCTCTGTGCCTACCCAGCCCCACTCACCCACTCAAGGACCTTCATGAAGCCCAGAGGCTCCAGAAGCAAGCCAAAATCCATCCTCAAGCCAGCCATCCTAGAAGGCACCAGAGCAGCCAGCAGAGACCCACACCACCACCTGACACAGCTGCAGCCCTGGTGGGGTACCTCCCTTTATGGCAAGACCCTGTGCTCCTTCCTGCCACACCCACTGACCTCACCCTGGGTCTGGCCCCACCCCCTGGTACCTCACACTGATGTGGGGCTGAAGGGCCCCATACCGGTGATGGCTGGCATCAGTAGGAGGGGAGAGCCCAGCTGTGTGAGGTAGGTGCCACTGCTGTGCAGGACCTTCTCTGTGGGCCAGGGAAACGGCGCAGTAAAGGTCACTGGTAGGAACAGCTTTGGCTGTGGGCAATGGATTTGCTGCAGCAGTTTCCTGGTTCTCTTCTAGAAATTTATTCTGTGATTGCTGTGGGACTCCTGGGACCCCTCTGAGGAACATCAGGGTGTTTGGTGCTGGTCTTAGGAATGGGTAGCTATGGGAGGCTGCAGCTGCTTCTAGCAAGATCTAGCAGCATGCAGGAAGCTGTGTGGGCTGCTCCTGGCCAAAGGGTGCTGGGAGGTTTTGTCCCAGCTAAGCCCTGTTATGCCTGCCAGGCAGCCTTGCAGCAGGAGCTGAGGAGCTGCCAATGGAAGAGCTGGCCTGGAGTGCAGCTCCTGGGTGTTGTTGGTGGGTGGAGTGGTTTGTGCAGAAGGAGCCCAGCTGCCTTCCAGAGCACTGTACACCTGCTCAGCTGTGGTGGTATCGTGCTGTGGATCACAGCCCCTGGCACTATCTGGATCAGATGTCCCTGGTGCATCAGAGGCCTTGGCTCAGACTGAGCTGCTGAGGTATGGTGCAGATCTCCGGTCCTTGTGCTGCAGACGGGCACCTGGTGTCTCTCACTGGGGCTGGGAAATACAGGCTCCTTGTCTGCAGGAGGTGTGCGTAGGTGGAAGGGGTGTGTGTCATGAGGATCTGTGGGAGGATGTCAGCAGCCTACACAGCATCAGAGATTATAAGTGAACAACTGGATCTTCTCTGAGACCTTGCAACTTCAGAAGGAGGGGCAGGTGTAGTCTGTGTACATCAGGTTAGGAGATGAAGACTCCATGATGGAGAAAGCTGGAAGCTTGTGAATCCTGGCACCAGGAGTATGGCTGCAGTTGCAGATCTGCAGCTACAGAAGAGAATAAGTACCCTGACAGGACACAAGGGGCTGAGAGCTTTCTCCAGTGAAGCCTCTGTGCCAGCTGAGCCTAAGCTACACCAGAGCACCAGGAGGAAGAGGCTTCTGACGGTAGAGGGAAACTTCCTCCTGCATGTGTTGGAGGCCCCTACCTACTGACCTGACCTGCTGCCTAGGAACGTTTGCTGCTTAACAGAGACTTGGATCTGGGATGTTGTGGAGAGACAGCACACGCTGCTGGGGGAGACTTGGAGCATTTAAAGCATGACTACTACATTGTCCTGGAGTGGTGGCCAACATCCTGGGGACCTAGGTGGTTTCCAGTGAGGAAAAGGGCTTGAGGAGTGAAAACATACCTCAGGTCATTAATTGTTTGCGCAGCTGGTGTTGAAAAAGGGGATTCAGCTTTTATGACCAAGGAACCCTCTCTGAGGATTTGGGACTATTAAGAAAAGATGAGGTCCACTTGACCAAGTAGGGCAAAAGCATCTTTTCCAACAGGCTGGCCAATCTGCTGAGGAGAGCTTTAAATTAGGAGTGATGGATTTGACATTAGAGAATGACCCACATTGAGGAAGTGGTAATTGGTGTGGTAAGTAAAGGGCATGGGATGACATGATTTCAAGGATGGAATTTGAAAACAAGAAAACAGGACAGAAGCTCCCTCCTAAATGTATGTTTGCATATAAGGAACTGCCCAGAGATGAGCATTATGGAGGAAGCTCTCATCATATCTTTTCTGGAAAGCCAGGATGAGAGAATGCCTGTCTACAGTGCCTCTATAGCAACACAGGTAGCATGGGAACAAACAAGAGGAAATGGAGGTCTGTGTGTAATTTCAGGACTTACGGTCTCATTTTGATGATAGAGACAGTGTGGGAGAGCTCATGTGACTGAAGTGCTGTCATAGATGGATACAGACTCTTTAAGAAGGACAAACCAGGATGATGATGTGCCCTTCATGTGAGAGAACAGAAGGAATGCATGGAGCTTTGCCTTAGGGTGGATGATGAGCCAGCTGAGAGTTTACAGGTTAGGGTTAGAGGGCAAAACAACATGAGTGATGCCATTGTGGTTGTCTACCACAAGCTACCTAATCAGGAAGAAGTAGAGGAGACCTTCAAATGGTGGCCCCAGTCCTCAAAGGGAACTTTAAGCACTTGCTGGAAAGACAATGCAGGAGGGCACAAGCAATCCAGGAGATTTTTGGAGTGCAGTCATGATAAGTCATTCACACAGGTCATGGAAGAGCTGCATGGTGAGGTGCTTTATGGGCTTGATACTGACAGATAGGGAAGGATATTCCAAAAGTCATGGCAGTCTGG